TGAGATCGTCAAAAGTTATTGGTTCAATGACCTCGATCTGTATATTTTCGTGGCTTGGCTCATCATTTTGATGTACAAAAAAAAAAAAAAGATAAAATGTAATTGCATTAATTGTAATTTAAATAAATTTTATTGTTATTGTTTAAAGTTTTCAAAGTGAATAAGTTGGATTATACAATTGAAATGATTAATTTTATTGAGATTATTGAAAGTATGTTGATTAACTGTCTTTCGATGTCTAGGTTCTGTCAATCGACAGTGTCTAACATGATTTTTTTTCCTTTGATGAAATGTGTTTGTCATGAACTTTTCTGTCAATGAACTTACCCTTTCTCCCGGTAGGCATTTAGCCAAGGTACTACCCTGCTCGTATTATATTAGATTGGCGTATTTCTCGAACAACAAAATGTTGAACAAATTTTGTTACAAAAGGCGCATTTTTTTCCGAGTTATCTTATACATAATAATAATAATAATAATAATAATAATAATAATAATAATAATAATAATAATAATAATAATAAAGTTTATTAGAAAAGCACGCTTCATCCCCAAAAGCTCGAAGCGTGGCACAAAGTCAACCATATTAAAAAGAGAAATAAAAACAATCTAAAATTTACCACATTTAAAAAAACAGACGCAACACTTTAAAACTACATACGAGCATACCCAGTCAAAGTCTTTCATGCCTAGGCCTAGATGTCAATTATTTCAAAAACACTAATTGTATGTTTACAACTGACGCCTGTGAGACAGGCTGTTTTCCCGTCTGCTGCTTCGTCCGTTATTTATGTCGCACGGACTATTAAATGATGTCCCCGCTTTTGTGTAAACCAGAGCACCACAACCCGTGTGCCGCGAGATGCTGTCAGCTATGCTCTGGCATAAGGGCTCCAGATAGAGGGGGGGGGGAGCTCATAGTGTTACGATGAACTAAATCAATGAACAACATCAAATTGCTAAAATAGAACACTGATAAGCTTAAAGGCGGTAACTTAACTGTAAGCCGATGTATTTTTAAGTCAACCATCACATGTGCACATATACAGTAAGTTTGTCTCATATTTTCTTGTCTCATATTGTCTTGGCTCATATTGTCTTGTCTCATATTGTCTTGTCTCATATTGTCTTGTCTCCTATTGTCTTGTCTCATATTGTCTTGTCTCATATTGTCTTGTCTCATATTGTCTTGTCTCATATTGTCTTGTCTCTTATTGTCTTGTCTCTTATTGTCTTGTCTCATATTGTCTTGTCTCATATTGTCTTGTCTCATATTGTCTTGTCTCACAAGAACTGATAAGCTACCTAATAAAGCAACAAACAAAATCGAGCGTACGTGGATGAACATCATGCTGAACGACTATCTATTTTAAATGCAATATCGTCTACAGTAGCAATAACGAGATGGCCAGTTTGGAAGGTTACCGTCATTTTGGATCAATTCATCGCTCTCCACGTGACAAAACATTGTCAAACAATTATTAAACCAGCTTGTATGCATGGAACTCATTCGATGAAAGCCTGTAGTGTAAATAAGTAGACCAAGTGTTATCGCGCTACAAATCGATGAGACATTTTTTTTAATTTAAAAAAAAAGGAAGAAATGTACAGGTTATTATGCATGTGTAATGAGATTAAAAGAATATTGTATTAAATGATTGTGTTGTGTTCGTGTTTGAGGAGATGGGTCTAATCAGCATTAAAACATGATTCATTCAGATGTAAGGTAATAGTAAAAAAGTGTCTCAACCGGTGTCCATTGATGATAAAACAAAATTCAGATGAACTATTACCAATGATGACCGCATGAGTTAACATCAGAAACTTTTTTAAAAAAGCATTCGTTGAGACGATTTTTTAAAGTGCTGTCTGCAGATAAAATATGGGGTTGGAAATAAAACATTATTATTTCACACTGTTACTACACTGATATACTTTTGAGATCCTGTTGTAATTTAATTTTTTTTTTTACAATATTATAATTAATTCGTGCAGGAATATGAGTTCAGGAAACTTCTAATCAATGTAAAAACACCTGCCCAACAAATATTATATGGCCATACAATATGATCAGATAAAATATAAAAACAATGGGATCATAAATACACCGTTCTAATATTATCTGCAGAAATTATACATATCAATTTTACCTTCAAGTTCAATATATATATTACTGGAATAAATGAATGGCTGTACACCAGGGGTCTCAAACTCACGGCCCGCGGGCCATTTGCGGCCCGCAAGACGATATTTTGCGGCCCACTACATGACATAAAAGTTTAGTGGTAATACAGCCCGCGCATTTCCCCCATTCTCATATCTATAATGTGACCTACCGCGACAGTTTCAGCCGAATCTCACTGAACAGTCTAACTCTGGTTTTCATTATGTTTGTATAGGTTTGAAAATTGATTATATTGGAAAGAAACCGTTTTAAAATCGAACTATTTAAAAAAAAAATTAAAGCATATTATGAGACAAAAATGGTAAAATTGCGGTTTTGAGAAAAGTTTTAAAAGTCACTTAGTGGATAATGCACAACCCTATTTCTTTAAATCGAGGCAATCTGACACAGTATCAAAGAGTCCCTATTAAAATTGCACACAGTATTTACGAGTGATGAAATTTCCGAGCCTGCCAGCTTGGCCACTTTCAAAATAGGGTTAGTCAAAAAGGCCTTTTCAACGATAAAAAAATCAAAATTCATTCTCCCTACAATAGCATCTTCCTTCTCATCAATAATTCATAACATATTGCCTGCTCCTGCATATTGGTTGAAAGCGTTTTAGCATTTAAAATCTTCATGGAGACGGATTGGGTGGTTGTTCCTGTACTAAGTGACCCCAAATGTAATGGACTTGGCTTTTCTTGTTGACATTACACAGCAGCTGAACAGGTACTCAACAAGAGAGTACAAGACGAGGGGTAGCTTGTCAGTGTTGCCTATGACAATGTCAGGGCATTCTGCACTAAACTTATGTTATGGTTCTTAGAGAAACCTCTACCATTTCCCAACATGCAAAGTACTCATGGACTCGGGCACACCATTCAGTAGTAAATAAACTGATGTTATTGCAAAGCAACAGGAAGAATTTGATCACTAGAGCCAATTTTCTGCTTTTTGCTGACGCTTTCTCCTTTAATGTGGAAGATGCTCTCTCTCTCTCTCTCTCTCTCTCTCTCTCCCCCCCTCCCCCGCATTTTTTAAAAGTTTTTTTTTTATTGATTTTCAGTGCAATTTTAAGTTCAGAGAGGTAAATGGAAAATCAAACAAACATGCAGAATTGATGAGAGAATTGCCCTCCCCATTCCTTGAGATTTCCAGGTTGTTCAAGCGGATAATGTGCTTTTTTGGGAGTACCTATCTGTGTGAAAAGCTCTTTTCCACTATGAACTTTAAGAAGTCAAAGTTTAGGGCTAAACGCACTGATGAACATATTAAGCTATACCGAGGGCCTCATTTGTTTCCTCACTCAAGCCAAATATTGCTCAGCTGTATGAAGAAGCACTGTCAGGTTTCTGGCAACAAGGAATAGGAGAAAGAAAGTGAAGCCTAGTTCTTGAGAACCCTTAATGTTTTATTTTTTTATTAATAAAGTTTTAGCAGTTGTACTTTATTGAATTTGTAATCGCTTTTTTGTGTGGAATACTTGATGCGGCCCACTCTCACTCAGATTCTACCTCCTGCGGCCCCCGGATGATTTGAGTTTGAGACCCTTGCTGTACACTAAAATTTAACTTCCCTGAAAAAAAAAATGATTGAACAGTCGGGCTTTTTAAAATGATAATGAACTTCGAGTTGCTTCATCAGATATAGAGTTAAAAATAAAATGTTTACTTTATGTCTCAAACAACAACAACAAAAAAAAGTAAAACTTTCCAATTTTTAAAAAAAAATTTTTTTTTTAATGTTTCTCCTTGTAATATGCCATGACATTATGGGGAGTGCCCAGGTTGTGCGCCCTGGTGTATTTAAAGTAATACGCTGCTCCGTGTAATGGAGTGGCGAGAGCTAGTGACGCCCGGGGCGATCCTTGATTTGGCCGACTATCGCTCCCGAGGACCATAAAACATAAAGAATACACATCATACATAAGTGACATAAGCCATATTTAGTATATGCAGTGGGCCCATCACCACCACCGTCTTCATACGCAATGTTTCTTTTAGACAAGTTCATATGGGCAGCGTCGGAGGCGCTGGAAGGGTGGTTGGAGGTGACGGCTCGCCTCCGGGGTACTACTTTAATTTTATGGAGGGCAGCATTTTAAGCCTACTGTAGCGTTTTTTTTTTTTTTTTTTTTTTTTAAATAATGGCAGGGGGGGAAAAAATTTTTGGCCGCCCGGGGGGGGCCTTACCCTAGCTACGCCACCGGGTGGCCAGGATTATTTATAACTCCACCCCTACGCCCAACATAAGCTAAATTAATTTTATTTGAGGGTAATCTTTAGGTCCCAACTAAGGTTTACTCCATAACCCTATAAAGACCAACGATATAAAACAAAATAAAAGGAACATAATATTTTTATTTTTAATAGATGGATGGAATGTATTCTAAACAATGTGATGTATTAATACCCATACATGTTACTTACGTTTTTATTTTTTTATCAATACATATTCATTATTTTTTAATTTAAAAAAAATGTATAGACGAGAAGGCTTGCAAACTCCCCCCACCCCCTCCCGCATAGCTTTTACGCTACATTTTCCCCAAATATCTGGCACCTCTTTTTTTAACTTGAATCAAAGTGCCAAACATGCCACTGTCACGACGCATATTATGTTTTATAATTACATTCCCCCATTCTCTTCCATTTGTTATACTTTTGTATATTACAGAAAATTATTACAAAGCTATATTTAAAATTAAAATATCGGCAATAATTTAAATTCAGTCATTTAAAAAAAAAGAATTTACAAAATTTTAAAAGAACTTTTGAACTTTTGACGTCCAAAATCCTGGCAAGACCGTTCTCGGGCGCCGAATTTGATCTATCGAACAGGATTACGAGCTACTACTATTTACTATTTAAGACACTCATTAAATTATGGATGATCACGAATGGGAACTTTGTAAAGAAAATGTTCAGCCCTTACGACAAGGACGTCATTTATCTTCACTTGCCACTGCGTTACATTCGGATCACGCAGACTCCGCAGAAAATAATTTAATTAAAGAGCAACAAAAGTGAGACGATGACAAATACTAGTCTTACTAGTACATTACTCAATTTATTAATTATAAATTTAATTTAAATGGTTATACTATTCAGTGATTCAATCTATAAAATTTATAAAATAGTGTTAGTCTGTTTCTGTTTAGTTTTTGTAAGGGCAAGGGGTAAGGCAACTGTTAAGTTAGCTGTTGCTGAGTACACTCAACACTGTTCACCTGAGTGTTAAGTTAGTAGTTAGTTTTATTACACTTTAACTTTACTACTTTACTTACATTTACACTGTTATTAAAGTTAAGTTAAAGTTATTTCAACTTAGATTTAGATGTGTAAGTGTAATTGTTCTCCTAGAACTACACTTACTTGATACTGATAGTGCACTACAATCATTCTCTTAAGTTCATACACTGAGTGACACAGGCAACCCTACACAGGCAACCTAGGGTTGCCAACTCAAAAACAAAATTTCCATTAGTAGTAACAGTAACAGGCTAAAGTTAAAGTGCAGACAATTATTTTTATATTGCCATGCCATGACGTCATTTAGGCTACATATTTAACTTAATAGTTTAAGGGGTTAGGTTTAGGGATAAGTTTAGGGTGATCTTTCACGGGCCGGGGCAACCAAGATGGCGGCCATGGTGCGGATTGTCTGAATTTACCTAAAAATAATAAAAGTCTGTTATCTTGGTTTAAATATCTTATAAAGCTCTACCTAGTAGCCTGAGTTTGAAATATGAACCAAAGGAAATAAGACCAGTACTTGCCAGTTGACTGTCAATAGATCTACTCATACTGTCATAAAGTTTTATTTATTTTAGGCTATTAATATAGCGTGAGAAGTAGGCTACCTCAAAAGCACAGTGCATTTGCCCTATATTAAGATGTAGGGTCTATATCTTTGTGAACTTTCGACCTCCCCACCGTAATTATTTATCACCCTCACTAGCATTTTTATCCTTTATCTCTCGCTCTCAGTATTTCTTCCTTCTACTTCTAGTGTGCATTGCTACCCCACCCCCACTTATTTCTTGAAATGAAGTGTATACTCGTCGCCCCCCATGTATCTCCGACGCCAATTTTATTATCAACTATTTGTGGTCATGTGACAAGGCTGACGGACAGATATCTCGCCCAACTTTGTTACGTCGGTCATTTGTCCTGGTTGCCGGAGGAGTATCTCGAGAATTATTCGTCCGGTCGCCGGAATTGTAGACATTTTGAATCTAATAATGTTATTGACTTGAAAATAATACAATTAATATTGCTTACTAACAGACCAATTTTTTATCCGATAAATTTTTAAAATATAGGCCGGCCAAGTTACTATTAATTGATGAAGTCATTTTTAAGACTAAAAATGAAGCTTGAAAAAAATTAAATAGCCTCTCTATGACCATGACCATAGCCTAGACTATGTTTGTAGGCCAATTTATACTATTAACTACTAATACTATATAACACAGTGGTTCTCAACCTGTGGGTTGCGACCCTTGGGGGTCGAACGACCCTTTCCCAGGAGTCGCACATGGTTGGAGCAAACAATAAGAATTCTTAAACACTATAAATTTTTGTTCGCTTTCAAAGATTTTTTCATTATCTTAAATTTTATGGACGTTCTAAAATTTTTACTCTTACGGACATTAAAAGAGCAACAAAAGTGGACAAGTCGGACAATTCATTTAAATGTAAAATTTTTATGGAATGTGCATGTGTGCATAAAGTTTTGCACATTTATAAATATTAGCATGGGGTTTAATAATCTGGGTGAGCCGAAGGAAAGTGGTTAACAATAACATGATTTCCTTTAATTATGTTCCTTTTATTTAAATGATTTATACTGAGTTTAACATCACTACTTGGTATCTAACATGTAATGACTAAAAGTGAATAATAAGTATTTTTTTATTGTTATTATGATCTAAAACAAACAAATGTTGTAGTACTTCACTCACCAGATTCCTAATTATAAATCATAGCTCTATATGTTCTGACTAATTTAAAATCATTATGTAGGCTACTAAAAGTAATACAGTTGAGCTATGTGCTGCAATTAAGCAGATTTAAGTATCTAATAATGAGTTCTCAACAGGAAAATTACAAACCTTGAAATTTTTGGGTAGCTATAAATATTTTAAAGATCTCAAATCTCTTTCATTGAATGTGATCAATATTAATTAATTATAGACATGATATACATATTTAAATTGCTCATATTTAATGTTAGTATATGCGTAAAAAGAGGTAAATGGGAAGACTATGGTAATAAGGAACCTGGGAGAGGTTTGGATCAAGCTAGGGGCAAAGGTATTTTGGAAGGGTTTTGATGGGGTTGAGGGTGTGGTTGCTGAGTAATAGAGCTTTTGGGAAAGGTGTCAAGACAGAACTTTTCACTGGTGGTGATGGGGAGAGGGAAATTGAAAGGGTGATAGAGGGTGGAAAGAGTAGGGTTGTACTTGAAGGGTGGTGAGGATGAAGTAGTGAAAAGAATTAAGATCACTGTAAGAGGCATTATGACATATGACTGTACAGGCTGCCATATCTTTTATTAAGTAAATAAAAAGATAACATTGTTGTAATTTGTATTATTGCATTATTTCATAGAGATTTTATTGACTAATTTTCAGTTGCAATCACCATAAACCTTTTAAAATTAATACACAATAATTTTCTGAAAGTTACTATTTCTTCTTGAATTAAAAGTTAGAGACTTAATTGCTCACATGCAACCAAAGAGTGGCCTGTGCTGGTGTTGATACACTTAAAGCATGTGCAATCATATTTTTATGCATTGAAGGGGGATAAATTAGAATCCCAGTCTTCATACGCTGAGCTATAATGATTATACTTTCTCCACTGTGTTTCCAGCAACTTTGAAATTGAGTTACGGACTTATGATGGTGATGACCCTTTTGATGTTTGGGACAGGTAATTTGTTGTTGTTACAAAAAGTTAGAATGTCAATATGTTTTACATGATTGGTTGTTAAAAGATAGTTCTAACTTCGATGTTTTAAAATGCTAGTAAGAAAAGTTGTATTCTTGTTTTATAACAAACTATTTATGTAACTTCCACTGTTAAAAAGCATGTGTGTTTGATATCCTAAAAGTGGATTTCAAATACTCATTAGAGAAGGATGAGTATTTCAGAAGAATGATTGAGTTGTCATAATATAATTAAATATATTCACACTTTTTTAAAATGTATTTAAAAATTTTTTTAAAATGTATTTAAAAAATTTTTTAATGGGATTTAAAAAAAAAAAAATCAAATGCCATCTGAATTTTGTGAAGAAAAAAATCAACAGAATAGAGATTTACCTACTAAATCAGAATATTTGCCATCAAATGCAAATCAAACTGCATTAACAAAAAACCACAAAAAAATGTGTTATTTGAAATTTATTTTTAAAATGAAAAAGTGAATGTTTTAGAAAAAAATGAAAAATAACATCTACTTGTTAAAATTGATAGGGAATTGTGTCTAACTATGGAGTGTAGTATGAATAACTTTTCAAAAATAAAAATTGTTCTTTTTAAATTACGTAGGTATGTTAAATGGACAGAGCAGTATTTCCCCAAAGGTGGTCATGATGGCCAGTTGGCAATATTGATAGAAAGATGTCTAAAGGAATTTCAGGGTGATCAGAGATACAAAAATGATTCACGTATCATTCGACTTTGGATAAAATTTGTAAGTTTTTATGCTTATAGGAAACAATTATTTAAAAAAAAAATAATATTACCAATTAATGAATTATAAGCAGATAGTATAACTCTAAAAATTGTAATTACATTATTTAAGAACATTTGCATTATCTAATTTGAATGAAATATTTTTCAGGCTTGTTTTTCTGATGATCCTGTAGAGGTCTATAAATATATGTTTGATAATGATATTGGAGTGCAGTTGGCTTCACTTTATATTGAATGGGCCATAGCAACTGAAAGAAAGGGTGACAACAAAACGGCTGATGCTTTGTACATGCTGGGACTTAAACAATGTATTGAAGGAAAAGATCTGCTTTTACAGAGGCAACAGTATGTACATCTTCCCTTTTTTTTGTTACCAATCATTCATTCTTTAAGCATATGCTTACAGTATTACAGGTAAAAATGTGATAAGCATCAGTTTGGACTTAAGAAAAACTTGCATCACCACAGTATCAGGGAATGATTGTTTTCTTTAATGCCGTTAACATTAGATTCACCAAACAATCTTTAATACTTTTATCCTTTTGAGGAATTTGAACTTTGAAGATCTAAAAATGAAGTTTTATTTAATTTTCCTTATTTTAATTTTTACTGAAAACAACTCTTTATTCTTTTATTTCGTTTAGATCTGCCATTTTGCGCACTTTATTTTTATTAATAAATACTGTTTTCCTTTCCTATAAGCTTGTCTTTGATATCAATCATAAGGCTGTCCTACCCTTGCAGGCATACAATTTTAGTTTTAAATAATATGTCAAGTTAACAAGAAATCCTGATGTTCAGTTATTAGTTTAAAATGTAACTTCAACTGATTTAATATTACTACACACAATAGCTCATTGAGCAATACTCAGTACTCAGATCTCATCAAGAAAAGATGAGACTCAGACACACACATAAATGTGCATATACACACACAGCCACACATAAAGAGAAATAGGCCTAAATATAGAGAATCCATTGTTCACATGTAATTAAAATATTTAAAATTCCAACAGACAATTTCAAACTCGACTAGCAAGAAATATAACTTTGCAAATAGCTGAACAACAGAATTTTGGTACATCTATTGGCGATGAAGCAGTGAAAAGGTCAACACTAGGACGACTAAAGCCAACTGGGCCATCTCATAAAGTTGGTGCAACGAGGACAGGATCAGTCTTGCTGGGTTAGTTTTTATCTATTTTTAAAGTATTTAACAAGTTCCTAGCAAAAGAGCAGCAATGGGGTTACACATTTTATAATACAAATTCTTTAAAATTTGTAGAATATATTCTTTTATTTGTTTTTAAATAATTCTAGGATCAGCTGGAAGACTGAAGGATTCAAGAACACCCGTCCCCAAACAATTGCCTAACAAAGGCATTCCAATTTTTTGTGATCGTGAAAATGTACCCCCAACACTTGCACAGCATCCAACACATGAGTGGCAGTCCATACCTGTTCATGAAATAGACAATAGAGAAAATAACAAAAAACCTGGGGTTTGGACAGAAGTAAAAGTAGGTTATTTTCTTTGGTCTCGTTTGATCTATTTCAAATATCCTATTCTTGAATTAAATTGTTTGTTTTGTTAAAGATATCTCACAATGAGCACATCTCATTGACAAAACATCGCTGATGTAAAAGTTGAAAATGTTCCAGTTTATCATGCAAAATATAAGCTCAAACTGCTGATGCTCTAATAAAGACACTGAAACCCATTAAGGAATTATTGATATTAAAGTTTAATGTGTTATAAAATTGATTTAATTGTATCTTTTATCTCTCAGGTCAAACAGAAAGTTGGCTCAGTTCCAAGTGTTCTGCCACCTACACCTTTCCAGATTCATGTGGATGAAGAACCTGTAGGAATGCCACAGGTGTATGTAAAATTAAAATATTTAATCCATCTTAAAAGTAATGAAAATTATACATCAAACCATCTCTTAACTATACTCAAATATGCTTCTCTGAAATGTATTGTTTGTATCCAGAAACAAATGTGCTGGCTTAAATTTAAATAAACAACCAAAAATACTCTGAGACATCAGTTGAATTATTAACGCTTGGAGCCTAAAAGTTTTAGAATAGACTATTATAGAGCTCATGTCAGTGAAAGAAACTGTTGTAAGGTCTAAGTTATCATTTTTCCTCTCCATTTGAGCAGTTTGGTTGTTTAACCTATGTCCACTTATCCGCAGGACGCCTAGAAAAACAACACTGATTGTGCATAGTCAACCTCTAAGGTAAGAATTTTAAAATGCTTTCAGAAAAAATTTCATTTATGTGTATCTGGTTTGCAGATTTGAATGGAAGTAAAAAGATAGTTTATTTTATTTCACATTTGGAAGTAAAAAGTAAGTTTATTTTCGATCAAATTTTGTGGATGGTATTATTAGCTATGCATTTCTTTCTCAAGCTCCCGCAAAGCTGCTCAGGCTGATGTGTTAAGCGGACTTAGACAACAAGAAGACACTGTATCCAATGTCATCGTTATGTATCAGAAAGAAAAAATCTACAACGGATTGTCAGAGTTTAGCTTTGAGGAACTTAGAGCTGCTAAATATTGGAAAAGGAAAAAGAAGCAGGATGCAGAAAATGAAAGGCTAAGTAAGACAGGAGGGTTTGTTGCAATTTTCATATCTGAGAATTTCGGACATTTCAAATTTATATTTTAATGAAGTTGCTTTAATTAGAGTAAATTATGTTATTTACTGACAGTACACTAAGACTTTTTGATTCTATTAATGCTCACTTTAAGTCAATAATTATGGAAAAAGACAAATGTTAAACAAATGTTTGTCACATTCTTGTTTTAGAGGAAGAACGTCAAAAATTAAAGCTAATGTTAATGGAACAAGATGCTAAGATTGCCAGAATGGAGGCATTACTCAATGGCTTAACTATCAATGGGCAAGTAAAATTTAATCACTTCAAAAATGCTTTTAACTCTTGGGTTTGTCCATAAAAGATGTTTGCAAACATACCCATATTTCAACCCACACCTGTCTGCATGTGGCTTCACACACACTCCCATCTAGTGTTTCTTTCAATTTCCTTGGGGTGCGGGATTCAGATTTTTTTGGGCGGCAGTAGCCAGAGGTGTAGCTAAGTTGTAGCAGAGGAGGTAAGATGGCACCAGGCTAGAGGAGGCAGGGTGGGAGGGTAAAAATGAATCTTGTCTTGTGGCGCCAAATTAGCTTCACCTTTGCCATTGGCTCAGAAAGGGACAGATGGGTTGGTCTGCCCAGTTGTCACTTTTGGACAACTGCAGAGTTTGTATCGTGAAAGAGAGCTCTGCAAAAATCTTGGGCTGTACTAAACTCACTACTCCACTAGGCAGTGTATCTATTTGCACCAAAATAGGCAATTAGGGCCAGCTATGCTGTCGGGAAGTGGGGCAGAAATGGAAGGCGCTGAAGGCTCCTTCAAAAGCAAGAGGTGCATTTTGGAGTATACCTGAATTCAATGTTTCTATTTGACTATAGAATTGGGGAAAGGAACTTTTCTAGTGTCCGGGGGAAGCATTATGGCTCAGTGTCATAAATAAACTGAATTCACTCCAGTTGTAGCCCACTCCAGGGTAAGCATTTGACACAAGCTTAGATTAAACCCCTTACTCTCACACTGATCGGCTTGAGGGAAGTGAGGTGCATAAACTGATATTCTCAATATACAATGCTCTCTGTCATCCTAACATTTAGCTCCTTTTAGTTCTACCTTAAATAAGTTTTTGTGTATTCTCAATAATGTGGGCTATATAAATCAACCGTAGACACTAGGAGCAGCAAGACATCATCAAGCCCATTCTGTAATTGTTGAAATAGTACAAATTGAAATTAACAAATAGATCACTTATAGAGGATGCCAGCAATTTTTAAAAATTTAAACATTCTGGAATACACGCAGTGGGCCTAAAGCAGTACAGCGTAAACAGCACCCCCTTTTTTATAAATATTTTTAAGGGGGAAAAATTCTACATTACATTAGATGTGCCCCATATTTGAGTAGTTTTTAAGGGGGGAAAAGTGTGTTCCATCAGGTTAATAAGGTAAATTTTCTTAAATATAATTACTGTTATATGTGCTATTAATAATATAAAACCAGCATATCTTTTTATGGCCAAAGTTTGCATTGCAGCTTGATTTTTTATAATTTGTTTTATGTATAATTAAAAAAAAAAAAGGTTATGTGAATGATAGAATGATAAATAATTATTGACTAGGCAGATAAGGGGGTCGTTTGCAAATCACATCACTCTAAAAATTACCTTTTCAGACCCCATCTCCCCCTGTCACAAACTGTCACAAAATCTTTACACCCCACCCCTTAGGTGGTAAAAGAAATGACATTTTTAGACCCCCCCCCCCCGTCACAAAATCTTTACACACACACCCCCCACTTAAAAAAGTCACACCTAAAAAGACTCAAAACATACATAAAATTTTCATAACTATACTGAGATTTATTCTTAATATTTTCCCATAATGGATTAAGATGTTGTATTAGAAAACTGGGAAGTAAAACGAAAAACAACGAAGTCCTCCCAGAGCTGAGTGTAAAATGGCCACAACAGTTTTTGTGTCATTTTTTGATATGCGCATAAGGGGTGCTTAAATGAGTTTCACGGTCTTATAATACCTGAGGAAATTTTGACCTCAAATTAATGTTTTTCAAAATTATAAAATTTTGGTTTAAAAATATTTTTCTTCTTCCACGTAACAACCCCCACCCCCCCCCCCCCCCCCAATCACAAAGTGTCAAATTCTCAACCTCCTTCCCACCCCCTGAGCGTGACATAGTTTGCGAACGACCCCTAAGGCAGTGTGGATTCAGACAAAATAGATCCAATGACTGATCAGATTTTCACCATCAGATGCCTATTAGAGAAATGTAACAAATATAATCTCCCTGTACATCAGCTCTATGTGGACTATAAAATGGCTAATGACTGCATCAAAAGAAAATATTTATATGAGACTCTGTAGGAGTTTGGCATATCCAATGAACTGACAAGACTGATACATGTAACATTAAACAACTCAAAAAGCAAAATCAAGGTTCAGGGACAATATTCAAAGGAATTTCATATTAGACCAGGCCTAAGACAAGGAGACTCTCTGTCTTGTATGTTATTTAAGCTAAAATTGGAGAAAGTTATTAGTAGCATACATATTGACACCTGAGGACAAAATACATGTTAAGCAGATCTGTTAACCTTCAAACTCTTAAATTGGTCCAATATCATCACAAAATCGTTCAGTACATCATCTTAATAGTAAACAAAAATAAACATACAGTTTATATGATGTATACAACTCAAAATCGTACATTGTACTCAAAATTGTAAGAATAAACAGGTCTGTGTTAAGAGAAGAAAAAGACAGATGAAACCATTAAAATAACAATTACTTTTTAAAAAGTAAATCAATTCAAATACCTGGGATCTTCATTAAATGAAAGAAATGAATTAATTACAGAAATGAAGAAAAAAAAGAATATTGGCTGGAAAAGGAGCATAATATCATTTTTATACTTCAGTAGTAAGAAAATACTCAAAAGTAAAAACATTACAAAAAACCAAAGAAAACTATATATATATAAAACTGAAATAAGACCAGTTGTAACATACGGAAGTGAAACTTGGACCCTAACTAATGCTGAAAACGTAATCTAAGAGACCAGAAAATATGCGGGCCAACAAAGGATGGAGAATACAAACCAACCAGGAATTGTACAGTTTATATCAGGATCCCACACTAGTAGCAGAAAAAAAATGGGCAAGCTAAGCTGGGCTGTACATTTAGAAAGAATGACAGGAGTGAAGACGGGGCACCAACAAAACCCCAGAGAAAAACGGCTCAAAGGCAGACCTAGGCTTAGGTAGATGGACGATCTGGAAAGGGATCTACAGCAGCTGGGAATCCAAGCATGGAAAAGAAAAGGATCAGTTAAATCTGAGTGGATGGATGTTGAGAGGCTGGCCAAAACCCTACATGGACTGTAACGCATCAGGGATGGATTGATGGGGCAGTAATGCACTTTTCTGATTTAAGTGATAGTATTAGTCATTTAAAGGGTATTTGCATACCATTTAGTGGAATTATTTATTTGCAATAATTTTATAATGTGCTGCTCTGTACCCTTTGTGTTTCATTTAAAACAAAAAATGCTTTCCATCAGTAAAAAGTAAATTAAAAAAAAGAAGTACTGACAAAAAGAAATATTTTTGTGGGGAAATAGTTTGATTTCAAAGTATATGTGAGCTATGATTAATTCTTTAAATACACACATTTCTTTATTTGTATGAAAATTGATTAGAATTTGTTTGTATAATTCCAATGTGGTGTCATGCAGTCCAAAAGACAACTTGGGTCATGTGCAGATAATGCCAGAGTTACATCATCACCAAAACAATCCAACACATGAGGGACAGTACACAGATATATTGAACAACTCCGCTAGAGCTGATGCGCTTTTATCCACAGATCTCTTTAACAGATCAAACATAAAGTAAGAAATTATTTTGTTCTAAGTAAAAACTCTTTTTAAGGCAAAGCTGCACTTCTTCATTGGGGTTGCTTAAGGATTGCAACCATTTCTTAAGCTGTACCAAACTATGCTGCCATTTTTGGGAACAGACCTGGGAAGCTTGGTTAGTCTCTTGTGTCAAACTACAAATTACTTTTGAACACTTAGCTGAATCAAATATATGTAAAATACATACTTTAGTGTTCTATTTCAGATATATCCAGGATAAGCTGGCTATTATTTACTTATTGTATATAGTTTAGTTGATAAAGAATTTTGTGAGTTCATTTTTTTCTCTTTAGAATGTGATAATAAATAAGTTTTTATAAAACTTTTTAAATTTAAAAAAAAAAAAAAAACGGTCTTTGGAGGTGTGGGGAAAGTTTGTGAATTCTGGACCCTGTAGTCTGTAAGAACCCTGTAAAATATTTGCATGTATTTTGCCATACACTAATTTTTAATACTATTTGATGTTATTTCTCTGAGGATCTGGAAGATCTCTCTCTCTTTTTTTTAAATTTTTTTTATTATTTTTTTTTTTGGAACCCCGCTCAAGAGAGTTGGTTATCCTGTACATTTATGCACTGCTCAGCTACTTTGTTTTCTAAACATTTCAGTGAGCATCAACCGGTTATGTGCCAAGCATCATCTGATTCAGGAACACCATTGGAAAAGTATTTGGGGAATTCAGTCTATCACCAAGGTAAGACACACACATGATTATGATTTGGTAGACAATTACCGTATTTTCCGGCATATAAGACGACTGGGCGTATAAGACCACCCCCTACTTTTCCTTTAAAATCTAGGGTTTGGCTGTACATCAGCTCATAAGACAACCCCCAACTTTTGAAAAGATTTTCATCGGTTAAAAAGTCGCCTTATACGCCAGAAAATACGGTAGTGCATCATTTAGAAAAGAAAACATTACCTCATATTCAACTGAGCATTAAAAAAAGATGTTTTATAGGCTTAACCCTCAGAGACCCCATCTTGTTGCTACTGTTCCCCATTGTCTGAAATGGTTTCTCCATGTGTTGGCTTTGTCCCCAGCTGGAAGGGGTGGGGGAAAGCCAAGCTGTACTTGGAGTTACTTGATGTCAGTGCCCATCACCGTTACAATCAACTAGTTAAGCCCCTAAAGAATATATATGAGTACAAGTTACCTCATACCCTTACTATAATACAATTTAACACTTAATTAAATCCCACATTTGGTTAAGAATAGGATTCCTTTGCAACGTCTTCAATATCACTTCTCAGATGGTGTGCAACACAAAAGCTGATATTATGTTTGTTAATCTATACAGTTTCATATCATGATAAAAAACCCACTTTATTTCTTAATAGGAAATTCAAGTGGCTGCATAGGAGCAAGTGAAGAAGACACAAGGATGCCTATAATTAACCATATGTCAAGCTTTGTTTCAGGAGCTTCCAACTCATCCTCCACAAGTACTTGTACCAGTAGCAACACATCCTTAAAAGCAAATGACAAATCTCTGCTGTCCAGCTGCAAACTTGGCACAGTGGAAAAAGGGCACAGTCTATCAACTACTGAGATACAGAGTTCATTCAGAGACAAATACATCGCCTTAAGTGATAAATCCAGCAACCCAATCCTATCAGACTTAAATAAATGCAGTCAGCCTCCTTTAGAAAAAATTGTAGGTTGATGGGTTAACTAAAGGTTACCTTACAAAAGTTAGTTTGAATAAATCATCGATATCCTATGAATATTATTTGACTTAAAAAATTACTTTACTTCAAAAATTAAGGCCTTTATAGGAGCTTTAACAAAGACATCTTGTTATATATTACTTTAAATGGATTTGTGTCAAAATATTGACTGGGATCAATCTTAATTAATGATTTACATAGCTAAAGACTTGTCTATATTCAAAGTACTATAATGTTATTTATCATGAGAAGTGATCAATGTTTAAAGATGTTGAAGAATTATCTAGTCTACTTAAGTAATATTTTTATTTCATCCAGCCCTTTGCTGTTCCTTCACCAACTGTGCACACAAAAGAAGCCATGGAGTGCATCAATAAATTATTTTGTGAATCTTTTGTTAGTGAAACACAAGCTACAGATTTTGAGTTAACACCAGGTACATTATCCCACTTTTATTAACAGTATGTTTTAAACAAAAAATATGTTTGCAATAATCCTTCCATTTTTGATGAATAAATCACTTAGTACCTTCTCAACATTTTCTCAGTGCAATAAGATTGTAACGACTGCGATGATTAATAATTTCTTAAAGACTTTTACTTTGACCTTTATTAATTGTGTATGGAAATTAGCTATGAAATACAAAAGAAATGAACTTACTGAATATTTAGTGTAAATAATTGAAATTCATTGATTCTATTTGTTCAATAGTCAATACTGAGGCCCTGCTTGCCTCTTCGGCACCGATTTCATTGTCTGGAACCAGGCGCCCATTTGAATCAAGTGAAAACTCACCCAGTGCACCTCCAATTAAGAGACAAAATTTAAAAGCATCAATGAATATACCATTTAATATTATAAAAGACATGAGTCCCTGTTCTGATGAAAATGGCATACAGGCAAATTCAAATAAAGGATTGTACATCTACTGTGATGACAATGGAAGCAGCCAAATGAACTCAAATGATCAAGGAGGCGGACTCAATATATTGAAGGGCCTAGACATTTTCTGTGACAGTGAAAACCTGTGGGTTATATTCTTAAATAAAGTTTACAATTGTGAACATTTGAATCGTTAATAATTATCAAGGCCATTAGCTTTGAGATTATAAATTTTTTGCCTTTCCAAAATTTATAATTAGTGTTATTTTAAAACTTCTTGTTTTCTCTTTATTTATACAAGCTTATTTCACAAATGTAAAATCTATTAAAAAATTTTTAAATGTCATGTAAATAAAAAATAGAAATCATTAAGAAAAAGGGTTATACATTTATTTCCTTAGAAGTGAAGAGATTATTCGCATGCCCCAAGGAAAACTTGCATTAAGCTCTCACAGAGGTTTACAGATTCATTGTGATAAGTTTCAGGATGCTGAGAATCAGTAAGTTACTTAGCTGTCTTCATACTCTTCAGGCCATATTAAATGAACATTAAATAAAAGTGTTTTAAAAAATGAAGTGAACACATTCATCCAATATTTTGTAATGTAATTTAAAAATTAAAATAAAAATGAGAGAAACTCCTTTATTTCTTATTTCTTTAGTCCAGACCAGGTAATTCCCATGCCCCAAGTTAAACTGGGAATAAGCTCTAAAAAGATTCATTGTGATAAGTTGCAGGAGGCTGAGAATCAGTAAGTAACTTAGTTGACTTAAACCAAGGAAGTGTGTGTTGTTATGTTTCTGTACTGAGAGGGGGAATTTTGAACTTTTTGGGTGCCTTTGAAAAGGGTGATTTTTCACATTATAATGTTTATATGGTATGATAAAATTTGTATATATCTTTCAGAAAATGTATTATTTGTATATGTTTTAGTTAATAGATTTAAAAAAAAAAAAATTCATCTGATACCTATAATTATGTTCAAGTAACAAAGCACGACATAAACATTACTAAATGGCATGAAACAGATACAATTTAAATAGCTGCTATATAAATATTTAATCCATAAAAAGATACAATTTAAATAGCTGCTATATAAATATTTAATCCATAAAATGAAATATAAGAAAACATATATAGAACAACATTCAATTATTTTTTGTTGGTACAAAAATCATCTGCAACAAATTTTTGAACGAGTCATATTGGTACAGCAACACATGCTCGTTGTAGGCCTAGGTCTAAAAATCGTCCGAACTTTCGCTTTCTGACCCACTAGAAAAATAATTGGCATTATCATTGTCTACGTGTGTAATCGAAAAATCATCTTCCGAATAAATTAAGTCATTAACTAATAAGAATTATCAAAAGGTTCCTGATTTATTTTGTAAGCCAGATGGTCCGGCTATGGCCTCATCCATTTCGTGAAAATCTTCTTATACAAATTTGCTTGATAAAGATCGTTCTAAAAATAACTTTTAAAAAAGGACACAGAAGAGTGAAAAACTGAAGTTTATTATTAAAAGGAAGTAGTTTTATTTGGTGTAAAATATTGGACTGGAACTTATCTTTACAAGGCTGTTTTTATTGGCTGACACAGTTTAGAAAGAGGAAATTGGCAGATTAGATCGGCCAACCACACTTTGTGGGTTAAACTTGTCGGACTGTATTTGGTAAATAATATATTTTAAATGAAAATATTCACTAAATTCATTAAAAAAAATTTAGTCATAGAGTCTCTTTCAGTTGTGCTTAAAAGTGCTATAGAAATATGTACTTTAATGCATATTATCATTAAATGAACATTAAAACAATTTGTAATGATATAAAGCTCATATTATAAAAAAAAAAATCTAACATGATATTAATGTCATATATATATATTTGCTTCTTATTTCCTTAGAAGAGACCAGGTAATTCCTATGCCCATAGGAAAACTGGGAATAAGCTCTAAAAAAGGTTTACAGTTACAGATTCATTGTGATAAGTTTCAGGATGCTGAGATCAAGTAAGTTCATTTGCTCTCTTCGAAAGCAAAATGCAGGTTTGATTAGATAAGAAAAAATTAATTTTGGAGGCATACATTTAGAATCATACTTTACAGTTTGGCAGTAAAATATTCTTGAAATAACTGTTTGTGAATAGAAAAACCACTAAGTTAGATATCTTATTCTTAGCATGAAAAGCGCTGATGTAAAACAGAGTAGCCGTCGTGGTTTGAGCTTTGGTTCGGTCTCCAGTGATGTTGAAATGACAGAAATGGATAAAAATGTAAGTTTAGTTTCTTTCCAGTTTTGCAGTTATTAAGAAATAATTTCAAAAACAAACACCAGACTAAATTTTTTTAATAGTGAATAAATATTAGATGAGGGGTTTTAAGATGAAAGTAAATGAATTGGAATTTCAAATAAATTCAGATAAAAATAAATGACACTAAAGTTATGTTTACATTAGTTTCAAGCAAAAAATCAACATTAATTAGTACGGTTAGTTGATAGTTGAAACTTTGCAGTGCTTTTTATATGTAACCTTTCTATGGGCACAGTTCACACTGGATGCTTCAAATCCTTAAGCATCAAATGTTTAACAGTGCCTACTCCATAAAATGACTTCACTATTGCAGTGAATTTAACATTTGAATGAGTTATTAAATTGATAACAGAACACCATGATGTAGGTGATAATTTGTTGTTTTGTGCAGTTTTATTGTTAGTGTTAGAGTGTAGAGTGGCAGATTGCATTGCAGACCATAGACCTTGAAAACTTAAAAATGCAAATCAAGACTACTTGGAGGATTAAAAATTCTGAATGTACAGCACTGGTCTAAATAAATGCGTTCTGTTGTTTCAGGAAACCAAAGACTTCACTATTGAATGGCAAGCAGTTGTTGAAACAACCTTAGCTCCCTTAGATCAATTTAGTAGTTTACAAGCCAAAGCCGCCTCAACACCTTGTATACCAGCAAACCAAATAGTGAGTAAAATTACATTTAAGCATCTATATTATAGTTTACTCAAGACAATGCACATTATCACAAGACAATGACTCCTGATAGTGTGCAGGAAATTATGTACACTGGATTTAAGGCATCAGTTACCAAAGTTGGGTTTTGTAATAATTTCATATCCATTCTATCTCACTATGAAAAGCATTTTCAATAACCATATTGTGTTGGAAGGATTGTGCTCTTCCAAAAAATTATAAGAGCTTCATAATGTATTTAGAATTTAGGCTATTATATTAAAGAATGTATCAATTTTTAATGATTAATCTTTTAGTCAAATCAACCTCAAGAAGTCACAGACCTTATGTTTTCCTGCTTACCTGTAACCACTTTATATGATGAAGGCCTAACACCTTCCAAACACCTCAGGTGAGTTCAATTACTCCAATAACTGACATTAGAATAATTCACTGTGTTCAATCAGCAGGGAGATTTGGCCTAGTGTGCCTCAGTTTAATCATTTACAATAATGACTGTAGAAAGTAGCACTGTTATTCAAAATAGTGCATTTTTCAGATTATTTTGTCCTTTTTAAAACTAACATGAAAAACCTTTGCCTTTGTTACAGTAATATGGCAGCAATCTTTAACATTAAAAAAAGGGGTAAACGGTGATTGTGAAGAAATTTGAATGTCATTTTTATTAACCCACAAACTGTGGCATGGATCATTCTGTAGTGTGGGAGCTTTTGAGTGCCTTTTGAAATTGCATTAAATGACATAGAAATATTGATACAAGACCCTAATAAGTATATATTTTTAGAAAGGTAAATGGATGTGGATAAAGTTGGCTGTATTGCTCATCCTGTAAAAAAAATTTTGCTCAATGTCCTTGACCTTGTAGTGCTCAAGAACATCATTAATTTTTATAGATACTCTTAAAAAAACAAATCTAAATGTTGTAGCAAATTCATTTAATCTTTCAGAAAATGTATAGTTTGCTAAGGTTTTAATTACATTTAAACCTCTGAAAGCAATTTTAGTAATTTTAAATCATTTATATAAGAAATTGGGATCACAGCTAAAACCAAGAACAAAATACAAAATCTCAGGCAAAATAGTTATTATTGACTAGTAAACATTTAAAAAGGAACTGTGGAACTGATTTGGGTTGTTTAAATACAAAATTTATTAGTTTTGATCTATAATCTGTAGCTTCTGTGACTAAAATTCAGTCAGTCCTTAACCAACCTCTGGGCCTGGCTCCAAGTCTAACAGCAGACCTACTTCAGTATCACTAAGAGTACAGACCTGTTTACTCTTACGATTTTGGCGTACAATGTACGATTTTTAGATGTCTTTTACGATTGTACGCCAAGACACTCCAAAACTACGATTTTCAGAGACCCGGTGGAAAAAAATTTTCCCCGATTTAAAAAAATCAATAAATGTTCGGTTTTGGACGTTTTAGCCCTGTCTCTCTAATGAAGATCTGGCAGTGAATATGAACGAGAAAAACGATTGGTTGTATTTTTTTTTTTTTTAAAGTTGGGGACCATCCTTATTATATTTCTGAAGCACTCATGGGGAGTGGGGAGGTGGGTGTTGATTGCGGAAATTGCGGCATACGGAGACACACATGGGTAGGAGATTGGTGGGAGTGTCAAAGGATATAAATAAATAACCGCGACGTATCGTATTGATGGGATCACAGGGAACTAGCTGGCTGTATCAACAGTAATATTTAGACTTGTCGCCCTAGCGACAACTTCACTCACCATCGCCTTTTGTGACGTAGTTTTGTTACAGAATTATTTTGTGCCTCAGAACCGCGGCGATTGTAAAATGGTTTTTAAAATAAAACAGAGGATCCAACTGTTGTGCAGTGGAGCCTTGGATTTTGGCATACCGGTATTTTATAAGATCCAGTCAGTGACATTTACAAAATACTTTTATAACTCCCAAATCAGCTCTACGCCTTCAACGATTTTAATACAACAGTTTGGTATCACTACCAGGGTTTCTTTCAGCTAGATCTTGGGGGGGGGGGGGG